GACTGTAAGCGCATTTCGGTGTTTCGGTCGGAACTTCCAGCGGTCCCTATAGATCTTCCACTGGGAACGTGAAATGGTTTGTAGACGTCCTAGAAGGTTGCGGCTTCGCTTTCCATTGATGGAATGCTTCAGGGGAAACTAGCCAAAATGTGGGCGCGATTCGCTTCCTTTGTACGGAGGGTCATGAACCCTTTAGCAGCCTTAAGCAATGTGTGGATCCACAAGTAGCCAAACTGGCCGCAAGGGCAAGTGGGTATTATCTCCGCCATCTCCTTCGTTGGATTTCAGTGCGGATCACAAAAGAGGGGAGTGCTGCAGGAGGTTGCAATGATCAGCTCGCCTGAGTGGGGGCCTGCCTAAGGGGCGCACCTGGTACCCATATTTGGATCTGATGCCTAGTGCTTGAGCAACATACCCATTCTGCCCCTGGCAGTTCCAATTGGAGGCAGCAATGCGTCAGGGCTTCAGTGATTTGGATCAGCGGGCTAGGGCCTGAAGGTGAGCAGCGGGTTGTTGTTGGGGGATGCCAGAGTTACTAGAGCTTGTGTTCTCCTCAGAAAAAGAAATGTTTTCTTGTTTTTCTTTCAAGTATGTGTGAACATGTTGGTTTTTCGGTGCACCAAGTCTTGGACATGTTTTCTCTCAGAGGGAAATGGAGTTGGACCCCAAGTTGAGAACCTCTCCTTCGAGTCTTCTGGGGTAGACGTAGGATACTTTAGAGCCTCCGGCTCAGTCCGCCGACATTGTCCTCTCCCTTTTCTCCTTCTTCCTCTCTCCCTTGTCTCCCTGGTGTGTTCTGTCGTCCTCTCTCCCTCCCTCCGCTCCCCATCCTCCCCATCCCCCCAAGCCACTCTCTCCCCAATCTCCCTCTCTCGTATGTATGTATGTATGCATGTATATATGTATGTATGTAATGCATGCATGCATGTATGTAATGTAATGTAATGTAATGTAATGTAATGTAATGTAATGTCATGTAATGTAATGTAATGTAATGTATGTATGTATGTATGTATGTATGTATGTATGTATGTATGTATGTAATGTATGTATGTATGTATGTATGTATGTATGTATGTATGTATGTATGTATGTATGTATGTATGTATGTATGTATGTATGTATGTATGTATGTATGTATGTATGTATGTATGTATGTATGTATGTATGTATGTATGTATGTATGTATGTATGTATGTATGTATGTATGTATGTATGTATGTATGTATGTATGTATGTATGTATGTATGTATGTATGTATGTATGTATGTATGTATGTATGTATGTATGTATGTATGTATGTATGTATGTATGTATGTATGTATGTATGTATGTATGTATGTATGTATGTATGTATGTATGTATGTATGTATGTATGTATGTATGTATGTATGTATGTATGTATGTATGTATGTATGTATGTATGTATGTATGTATGTATGTATGTATGTATGTATGTATGTATGTATGTATGTATGTATGTATGTATGTATGTATGTATGTATGTATGTATGTATGTATGTATGTATGTATGTATGTATGTATGTATGTATGTATGTATGTATGTATGTATGTATGTATGTATGTATGTATGTATGTATGTATGTATGTATGTATGTATGTATGTATGTATGTATGTATGTATGTATGTATGTATGTATGTATGTATGTATGTATGTATGTATGTATGTATGTATGTATGTATGTATGTATGTATGTATGTATGTATGTATGTATGTATGTATGTATGTATGTATGTATGTATGTATGTATGTATGTATGTATGTATGTATGTATGTATGTATGTATGTATGTATGTATGTATGTATGTATGTATGTATGTATGTATGTATGTATGTATGTATGTATGTATGTATGTATGTATGTATGTATGTATGTATGTATGTATGTATGTATGTAATGTATGTATATGTATGTATGTATGTATGTATGTATGTATGTATGTATGTATGTATGTATGTATGTATGTATGTATGTATGTATGTATGTATGTATGTATGTATGTATGTATGTATGTATGTATGTATGTATGTATGTATGTATGTATGTATGTATGTATGTAATGTAATGTAATGTAATGTAATGTAATGTAATGTAATGTAATGTAATGTAATGTATGTAATGTATGTATGTATGTATGTATGTATGTATGTATGTATGTATGTATGTATGTATGTATGTATGTATGTGTATGTATGTATGTATGTATGTATGTATGTATGTATGTATGTATGTATGTATGTATGTATGTAATGTATGTATGTATGTATGTATGTATGTATGTAATGTAATGTAATGTAATGTAATGTAATGTAATGTAATGTAATGTAATGTAAATGTAAATGTAATGTAATGTAATGTAATGTAATGTAATGTAATGTAATGTAATGTAATGTAATGTAATGTAATGTAATGTAATGTATGTATGTAATGTAATGTAATGTAATGTAATGTAATGTAATGTAATGTAATGTAATGT